CACATTGGGCCATTAAAACACTTTTGGAGGTTTTGGATTGTCAATTTAATGGTCAAATGGACACAAAATTTGATATTTTTATAGTTAAATTCAGTGTATGGACAAGAGGAATCTAATAAACCTAAGCTCGCTAAATACCAAGCTAACTAGGGCACTCAAGAATACGATGAAGAGCACAAAGAGCATCAACAACAAGCTAAGATACAAGAGCGTTCTTAGGCCCTATGGAGCTCCAAGCGTAAGGTGGTCATTATTGCAAACAACTGCCCTCCTCTTCAAAAGTCTGAAACTGAGTATTCTGACATTTAGATCAAGATTTAATTAGATTTGAGGTCTAAACTTCCTATGCGCTCAAGCCCTCCCTCCCAGTTAATCACTTCTCAAGCTCACATGCAAGAGCGCTCTTTATTAACAATGGTTATGTTGTGCTTTGAGTGTTAAGTTGAGGATTACATCTATTTGAACTTTCATATTAATTTTGGATGGAGATTACTTCTATTAGAAGACCTACAAATATTCACCCCAGGTTTATAATTATCTCTTGGACAACGTAACCCATAGATGCTGACAAGAATCATCCTGTCAGGTTCGGTTGACTCTCCTCTGACTAAGTTGATCAGGGATCACAATGACCCGGAATGACGGAACCGTAAGATATTGATCGAGTTTCATTTTTATTTCGCCGCCATCAATTTTAAGCTTCAAGTGATATATTTTACTACTTAAAATCATATATTGCTGCTATTATATATATTAAATATTTATTTAATAATGATTAGCATTAATCAAAAGTACTCTCTCATTATCGAGAGGGGTAATTAATTATAGGAGCTTGCGCCTATAAAAAACTCTGAACCCAAAATAAAAAATTAATCACAAAATGAGGATGAAATCTCAAGTAATATCGTATCTACTTTCCAATCTGCATTCTAAAATTTGACCATCTAAAACTCTCTCAACAAAATAAAAATTAAAAATACAGAGTTTTTTGAAGCACGGTTAAATTTGTCAGAGTCCACAACATCACTATTCATTGGTTGAAGTTTATCTTTTTTAAGTTACTAGAGATATTGAAATATTAGATATTCTCGAAGCACCACTACTTGAAACCATGCATGCAATGAGTTGTTAATCTAATTCAATTAAATTTGTTGATCATTAAATATAGTTGATAGTGTAATTCGAAAAAGAATTTGTTGATCATTAAACATAAATGGTAGTTTACTTCAAAAAAGAATCATTCCATAAAATCTAAATTCTTTTCTCTCAAGGACATGAGCAGTCTCATCAATTTGAATTGCAAATTGCATATTGCCAATATACAAAGAAAGAATAATATTGTCAAAACCACCCACCCACCATGCATGACAAACTCACATTCACATCACTAGAAAAAAAAAATCATAATGTTTAATCCAAAAAGATGCATTTTTTCTAATATGCAATCTAAAAATTATTAATACATTGCAATTAAATATATGCAAAATTCAATCATAAAATTTGGCCACAACTTTCAAGTTCTTTATCAACTAAACAAGTAGAATCCTTAACAGACAACTCAAAAATTTTCACTGGATTCAAAATACAATTGGAGCTAGTCTTCCAGTAGAAGACCAAAGGAACTGCACTAGCAACTCCACTAAACCAAAACATGGAATGCCCTTCACAAATTAGCCTACCAACATGTCTTAGATATCCTCCTTACCAAAAGCTCACTCTGATCACATATAGTTGGCTCCATTCCCTGCTCCCCAACAAAACCAGAACTTTAGCGCTGGATTCTGGAGAATAAGATTTAATCACTGGCCAACAAAAACTCTCACTACTTAATTTTTAACGGATCCCACAAATGCTGCAAGCTGGCGTTCGATCATCAGCGCAATATTTCGGGTAGGAAAAGATAACGAAATCGAGAGTCGTAAGGGATTACTCCGCAACTGCGAGAGCCCAACAAGCTGTATTTTCTCTGGGAGATGCATTGTTCTACAAAGCCTGCTTGTTGCTGAGTCAAGAATCCAGATATCCAGATTGGTAAGTTTGATTCATCAACAAATCCTCGAGTGAAAGCGTGGAGCATCTTTGGGATGAGAAGCTTCCTTTTGTTGCTCATCCCTACGGAAGCACGAATGAAGTCGCGCTGAGCTTGTTGGAGCTCTTCCTTCACATTTCCTGCACTGTAAACTTTTACCTGCGAGTCCAATGCTAATACACTTTTATTTTTCAAAACATTGACTGACTAAAGTATTCCTAACAACATTTATCTACAGCTTCTAATATGCAAAGTGGATACAGGTATTTCTTTTCAAATTTTAAAAATAATTAAAATATATATATATAGAAATGGATAGAGGTGAAGCAATATTACTGCAGGAGAAGAGAATGTTCCACAGCTTAGTGCAAATGTAACTAACGGCTCATACGTATCGATCGAACACCTCTTCTGCTCCTCAGATAGTTTCAACTTCTGAAGTGCAAGAAGTAACGCCTACGCAAAGCAATAAAAGTAGCCAACAATTTCAATTAAAATATCCTTATAAAATTATCACATAAAAAAGGGGTCTGCACAATCTATAGAGCATGTGCTTTACTGTTTGTGGCCTATGGATGGGTGGCTTCATCTTCAATACAACATACTCAATGCAAGCAGCACTGTATGAGTGACCTCCCACTATGTATGCAGCCTGTGAGGAACAAATATGATTAAAAATACTTCATACAACAGCTGAAAGTATCCAAAACAAAAACTAAAACACAAATTTGAGTAACAGTGAAAAATCTGTCAATGAGTGGGATGAAGTGTAATAATGATAATAAGAAGGGGCATTTATATGCATGCCACTCAATTTATATGTTTTTACGTATAAGTTTACTTATTACATTTATATACTCCAATTCTTTCATATCACATCAAAAATATCACTTCTTTAACGTTATAAAGTGGAATATACCTTTTTATGCATGAGTAAGATGATATATATTTAAAAATTGAAGTTTAGGCGTTAACTATGTAAATACATAGAAATATGTGGTATGTATACAAGTCTTATTAATAAAAATCATTAAAAAGGTAGAATTATCTACATCTGAATCGCCACACTATTTCATGAAAAATAATTTTTCCAGTATTTTACTGCCAAGTACGCCGATTTTTTTTTT